CTCGAACTCATAGATATCCGCCTGCCTCTGCCTCCCAAGTGCTGGGATTAAAGGCGTGTGCCACCACCGCCCGGCCCACAATTCTTTTTAATACTGTTCATGTGTGGGGCTCTGGCCACAGAGTGCCCACTGGGAATGCAACTCAAGTCCTCTGAACGAGAAGTGCATGATCTTAATTGCTGAGCGTCTTTCCAATCTCCCAAACTGTATTCTTCGCAGTTGGTAGTGTTACTGGCTTCTAAAATGGCAAACGTCTCCCCCAACGCTGGAACTTGTTCAAGAAACGAAGTGGAAAGGGCCAGACTCAACCAGCAGATTCTATAAATCACAGACAGGATTAGGCCTAGAGAAATATAGATGGATCTTATATAAACTACAATTCCCCAGAAAACAAATCAAAAACAAACAAACAAACAAACAAACAAACAAACAAAAACCCCTGTCTTCAGGAAAAAAACTACAACTCCCAAGAAGCCTTAAGGCTTTTCGAAAGGACGGGTGGCGCATGCTTGATTTCGCTCGCTAGGAAATTAAATGGAACTGCAATTCCCAGGAGTCCCCATACTACTGATCGCCCAATCAGCGCTATGTATAAACTATCGCGAGGCTCTGATGAGACTTCGTCGTATAAGCTCATGGGAACGAGAGTAGGCCACACTTTTCGTCAAGATGGCGCCGAAAGCGAAGAAGGAAGGTGTGTAGAGGCGTGGGGCTGTGGCGGGTTGGCCCGGGATCTCCGCAGAGCGGAAGCACGGGGAAGGTGGCCGCTGGGCTAATCCATGGGGGACTTGTTTTGGGGCTCTTGTCGCGATTAGGCCCACACTACAGTGTATGAGGACCGCGTGGGCCAAGCCGCATGGGCTGGTTCTAGTGAAGGGAGTCGGAAAGGGCACCCAGCCGGCATCACTCGCCGCTGATCGCCAAGCCGTTGGCTTTCGGAAGCTACTTAAGATCCACAGGATGGCCGGGCGGTGGTGGCGCACGCCGTTAATCCCAGCACTTGGGAGGCAGACAGGCAGATCTCCGTGAGTTCGAGGCCAGCCTGGTCTACAGAGCTAGTTTCAGAACAGGCTCCAAAGTTACGGGGAGAAACCCTGTCTCGAAAAACAACAACAAAAAAACCCCAGCAGGTTGGCGCTCCGTGTCTCCATACCTGTAAGAGATATCCCTTTTTTTCCCCACTTAAAACGGGAAAAATGCACCAAGTTGACGTTACTCCGGGTTATAGCTTCGCCTGCAATATCGTGCACATGATGGATAAAACTTTGTCTCCTGAGACCTGTGATGTCTTCAAAGGAACCACTGATGGCGCGTGTTGACAGGGCCGCCCGAAAGGATCAGTTTGTGAATGCTACAGTCTAAGTTACATTTCCTTCCCTCTCAGCTCCCGCCCCTCCCAAAGCCGAAGCTAAAGCGAAGGCCTTGAAAGCCAAGAAAGCAGTACTGAAAGGCGTCCACAGCCACAAAAAGAAGAAGATCCGCACATCGCCCACCTTTCGGCGGCCCAAGACCCTGCGGCTACGAAGGCAGCCTAAATACCCACGGAAGAGCGCGCCCAGGAGGAACAAGTCAGTACCTGTACCCACTAGTATGTTGTAGGGCTCTAGGGTTGGTAATTTACCTACGCAGTAGTTGGCCTTATAAAACACATAATTGTCCAATGTGCTGCTCTGGTGGAGGCGTGAGATCTTTGTATGTTAATTATTAACATGTGATCGGTATTGGAATACCAAAGAGGGTGCTTATCTTAGGGTTCCAAGTGAGTGAGAGTGGGTTGATTAATTTATCTGCATTGGGCAGTGATGCCCTCCTAATTAATCTTGTATAGAAGTAAACTTTCAATTAACACTTAGCAAATCTTAATGCTGTTCAAAGGAAGTTTGGAGGAATGGAAGAAATGTGTTTACTGAAAAAGCCACGACAGGATTGTGTCTATGGGGGTCAGTAGTTTTGAGGCACCTCGTCTTCCTGTTAGGACCTAGAGTTTTGTGTGAGGCATGACTGTGCTTCAAAACAAAAGTTGTCCAGATAGTAGTGGTGCACACCTTTAATCCCAACACTCAGGAGGCAGATCTGGGCAGGCAGGCCTCTGAGTTTGAGGACAGCCTTGTCTACAGAGTTCCAGGACAATCATGGATATATGGAGAAATCTGGCTTAAGGGGAAAACAACACAAGTGGTGACTATTCCTGGGGCCTTTGGCCCCCAGAGCTCAGGTGCACGTGATGACACTGTATAGCGACCAAAGTCTGATACAGATGATTGCTGTTTATTGTCTGATGCGCCTACTCTTTCCTAGACTTGGGCTCCAAAGTGTACCACTCTTGAATCCACAGCAGTTTTACTCCATTTTGTTCCTCCCATCCCTGCTAGGCTTGACCACTATGCCATCATCAAATTCCCCCTGACCACCGAGTCAGCAATGAAGAAGATAGAAGACAACAACACACTTGTGTTCATTGTGGACGTCAAGGCCAACAAGCATCAGATCAAACAGGCTGTGAAGAAACTCTATGACATTGATGTGGCCAAAGTCAACACCCTCATAAGGTGCGAGGGGCCAGGCAGGAAGGGCTGTGTGGGTTTACTTAACTATCCCCTGGTTTCTTGGTGACCCTTAACCCCCTTTGCGCAAATGATGGAAAACTCAAATGTTTGGAAAAGAATGACACCAGCAAAGGAACCACTGATGCAGCAGAGGGAGGAGGGGAGGAATGTGGAGGGCTTGGGGGTGTAAGAGCAATCAACTCTGAGGCTTCCTTCTCCACTCAGGCCCGACGGAGAGAAGAAGGCGTATGTTCGGTTGGCTCCTGATTATGATGCTCTGGATGTTGCCAATAAGGTAAGCATCCTGTCCAGTCTGTTCTGTGTCTAAGCTCGGTCTGCCTGTATTCCCCACTTTCCCCATCTTGCCATCCCAGCTCCTTTAACCTTAAACAATTACAGCTCCACAATCACAGCTCCTTTTTTGTTTTTCAGATCGGAATCATCTAAACTGAGCCCAGCCGGCTAATTCTAAATATACACTTTTTCACCATAAATAATGCTGCTTGTCTTTTTTTTCACTTTCTGGTTGGGCTGCTGACATTGCTGTACTGCGGTGTACACTAAGGTATATGCTTATATGGGGTGGGTGCTGGGAAGTGTTTTCCCAGCTCTGAGCAAAAAATCTATTTACTCCATTGGAACCATGATGCCACTCTTAGAGCCTTTATGCTTAGGTACCAGAGGTATTTATTACTTGAGTGTTAGTTGTCTTGGGGCATGCCCCCATCAGAGGTTCAGAGCACAAACTTTACAAGAGTTCCTTCCTTTATCCCTGGGAAAGCCTGTTGTGAAACCAATGCCAGAGTTTGGAAGAGCAGAGGGGTTATTTTAGAGTCGCCAGCATCCATTTCAGGGTGGTGTGGGTTGACTGGCTTTTGGACAGTGTCTCTTCCTCACCCATCCTACCGTGTCCAACCGGTTGGTCTGCTTCCCTCACCCCTTGCCCAAGAAGAGGACTTCAGAGAAGAGCTTTCATTAGTGTTTTCAATAGTGTGGGTGTAGGCTTAAGGTAGAAAAGCTGGCCCAGAATACACCCAGGCTTGAGGCAGAGAGAGTCCTAGTTTGTTACAAAGCTGTTGGCTGTGCTTGTTGCTGTCCCTGCCACATGTCCTGGGTTATCCTTCCTCACTCAGTCAAGAATTTGTCTTTGTGTTGGCGGCTGGGAGCACGTTCAGGGCAGAAATCCGAGCGAAGGAGGCGGGAAAAGTAGATAAGGATCATCAAGTCCAGCATGAGCAAGATGACCAACAAAAATGTTCCCAGGGTCCTCTCGCCAGCATACTGCAGGAAGAACTTGGTGAGGTAGACTTGGGGGGCCAGACGGAAGAAAAAGTACATGACCAGGTTGACATACTTGTTGATGCGGTAGAGGAGGAGATGCTGTGCGTTGTTTATCTTCATCATCATCCTCAGTGTGAGGAAGATGTTGCTGACCTCCACCAGGAGTGTTAAGACGCCCCCACCAACAAAGCTTTTCCAAAAGATACCAGAGAAGAAGGCACCCATAGCCTAGGGAGCAAGTAACAGAACAAGTGCTGAAAGGTGTCTGTCTTCCTGGGTACACACAACCAACATTCCCTAAGATTAAGACATTCCTAGTTTGTTTAAATAGGCGAGGCCCGGAGGGAGCAGTTAGTCTTAGGCAACCTAGAGGTCGGACACTGCTGGGGTTAGTATCACACCACTGGTTTCTCACCATGACATGATGAACAAGGTATTCCCAAGAAGCTCTAGTCTGTTTACTAAGCACGATGTCCACCGTGTCGTGGATGAAGTATCCTAGTGGAGGGGGAGGGAAAGAACAGACTGGAGCACTGACTACTGGCTGCCTCCAGCATCTTACTCTCAGTCTCCTTGGGCACAACCTACCTGCAGAGAAGCACACAAGCAAGTAGCCAGAAAGTGACCATGCCGTCTCAATCTCCACCAGCATTTCAGGGGTTTGCCATATGCTGGAAAGGAGAAAAGGGATGCAGCCTCCCGGAGGACCCTCACCTCCCCCAACACTTGCCAGTCCCAGGGCACTCTGGGCGCCCACTATTGGCTGATTGGAGAGTGAGGAGGGGCTTGGCCGAAGCCCAGGTACCTCGGGTTTCCCACAGCCGTTTTCGGTTGGGTAGTTTTCCAAACAGGGAATCAGGTGAGATCCTTGGCGTCTGTTCACCCGTGAGTGATGGGAAGAGCAACAGGGAGACCAGTCCGAGCAACCCGCGTAAGATCCCACGGCCATCTCACTACCCCGCTTGTTCACTCACCACAGCAGTGCCCAGATCCCTGATACAATGGAGTGGGTGAAGGAGACGAGGAGGTTATGCCAACGCCAGGTGCGCAGGGGGTCGGTGCGCACGTGAGCGGGCAGAGGCAGGCAACACAGCGCGCGCCGGAGTGCCCGGAAGGTCAGCGTGGCGCCGAGGAGCAGCGGCCAGGCGGGGTGCAACAGTAGGTGCATGGTGGCCCTCCCTGCCGTCCGTCTGTACGCCCTTTAGGCCGACTCCACCGGCAGTTCTGGGAACACTACTCCGTCTCCGGCCAGCGAGCCACGATCGCTTCTGCCGCGGGCCGCCAGATCCACAGTTTCACGGAGCCCTCAAGGCCCCTTCGCTCCTCCCCGCGCTCCCGGCAAGGCCTCTGCCCGCCCCTGCCGCCCGCGCCCCCGCCCCGCCCCGCCGCCTGCCCCCGCCCCTCGGGCGCCTCTGCCGCGAGGAGGGCGCGAGCCCCGTGTCCCCCGGGGCCCCGCCCGGATCCCGCCGACTTCGAGCGGGAAGGGCTTGTCCCCGCCATCGTGGCCGAGGCACCCCTCTCTGGCGCCTCCCGACAGCCGAAGGCGTCCTCGGCCCCTTTAGTGCGTGCGTCCCCACTTTCTCTGCGGCCACCGGCTCCCACACCCTGGGCGGGGACCGCGAGAACGCTCCTCTTCTCAACTCTTTTCAGGGCAGAGCTGGGCGGGACCATCACACACCGGGGTCCGCTCAATCCTGCTCCTGGGGGATTGGGAGCGCCGCGTCGGACTACGGCTCCGCCCAGACTCGAGTCCTCTCCGGGACCTAGACCGACGTGTTTACCTGCCTCTCCCGCGCCCCTCACGAATGGTGCTTAGGAACTGTTGAGTCACCCATCATCACACTTCTCCTCCCCACCACACTCGGGCTCCTGGAGCCTAGCGGCTGTCACAGTCCTCCCTCAGACAGTCCCAACCCTCTTCTGGCTCCTTGGAGGCTGGGGCGGGGAAGGCTGCGGATTTGCCCAGACAGCTGGGGTGACCCTCTCTCCAGGGCAGTGGCCCGAAGCAGTTGCGGCTTCTGGCCACTAGGTGTCAGCCTGCGCTTACTGTGGTGCGGTCTCCAAGCCCGCCTCACGGTGAGAAGGCAGTTCTGCCGAGCGGGATAAGCAGACACAGGAAAAGAGAAGGGCCGGGAAGTGATGGGGTGTGCTTTAGGGAGGTGGAAGTAGAGGACGCGAGCAGAAAGTGGAGACTGGGAGAAGTGTTTTTAAATGGGGGGAAAAAACTAGAAAGCGGCGCTAGGACACCCAGGGACCAAAGCCTTTTGGGTGTTTGCTGTTCCCCTGATGGTTCCCGGGTTACACATTAACTCCCTTGGGGCTCCAGGGTCACCGAAGGCCCAGTTGGTTACTAAGAGACAAAAAGATGTGTTGTCTTGGGTGAGCAGTTTACCCTTTCTTGTTCCCAAGTTCCCAGTTTGCTCACGGAAAGCACGTCCACCAGCGACTCCGGCCTGAGCCAGTGACTGCAGGTTCCCTCTGGTCTTTCCACGTAGGCTAGCTCTGGGCGGGGCGGGGACAAAAGATAAACATCCCTTCCCACGCTTTCCTCACCCATTCAGGAATAGGGACATTAACCCGTGGCTGACGACCACCTCCTGAATACTGGGGTTTTAGAGCAGCGGCGTCATGAATAAGGATGAAATAAACCCCGTCCAAACTAAGTAAGTTAGTGATACTTACTAACCAGCCCACTACTTCTGGACAGAAGAGTAGGACCCACTTGGGCCCTCCCCGCCCTCCACCCTGACACTTTCGGGTAGAGGCTACTTCCACTCCCATCTCACCCCCAGCAGGTTCGCGATGAGCACCGAGGACTGGGTCCCTTTAGTGCAGCGTTTTGTGCGGGCTTCTGAAAAGCCAAGAGCGCGGTGCTCAATACTTGTGACAACCTGGAGGCCACGTCACGTACTCTCCAGGTGAATCAGTTTGCCCACCTGGGGTTTTCCCGGTCACTCCCTTGGCAAACACCAAACAACCCCCGCGTCCCGCCCCACACAGCACGCTCTCGGTGGTTTATCCTTTACGAGCCAGAAAGGAATCCCTTTATCTTCCTGAAGTAGAGCCACGCCTAGGCAGCGGGGACTGTTTCCTCGCTTCCCACTCCCATTAGACCTTTGGGGGACAGTCTTGTTGGCGCGGGGCAACTTAAGTGAGCGCCGCATCGCTCCAGTCTAACGACCAATGCCGAGTCACGCGTGGGCAAAGTGGCTGGTAGGACGCCGAGCACTAAGGGGCTCGCCAAGAAACCCGGAATGTCTATTCTCCGACTCCTCGCGGGGGGTAGGGCCGTAGGGGAAACACGACTCACAGTCCAAGAAAAGGCGCGGGACTTAACAGACAGCCCCCTTCGCCCGCTCCGCCCCGAAAAAATCTTACGGCTACAAGGCGGAGCACCCGGGTGGGCGGGGCCGCGCACGCGCCGCACGAGAATTCCAGAAGCGTATCTGAGACATGAGATGGAGAAGTACGAGCGGATTCGAGTGGTGGGAAGAGGTGCCTTCGGGTGAGCCAGGGCTGTGGGGAGGAAATGCTAAGGGAGAAAGAAAATGAGCCCCAATTCTGAACAAGAAATAATGACCCTGCTGGCACCGCCCCAAAGCGGGAGGGCCACTCCAGAATGCCCCGCCCAGGCATCTTGCCCTTAGGTCTAGGCGGGAAGCCCCGCCCCCGGCGGGAACACGCCCACCAGACCAGTCAGTGCTCTTGGAAAATAGTTCTCACCAATTGCTTGTTCTTTGCTGCAATTGATAATGAGAGTTAGCTACACAGGTCAGACTGTTCGGAGTATATATACAGTTATGACCAAAGCAGGCTTGATACTTCCCCGTTACGAACTTAGCTCATAAGAAATTGATACAAATAAACAGGATATTCTTTTTTTTTTCTTTTTTTTTGATTTTTCGAGATAGGGTTTCTCTGTGGCTTTGGAGCCTGTCCTGGAACTAGCTCTGTAGATCAGGCTGGTCTCGAACTCACAGAGATCCGCCTGCCTCTGCCTCCCGAGGGCTGGGATTAAAGGCGTGCGCCACCACTGCCCGGCTTAAACAGGATATTCTTAAAGCAGTTAATAAAGTTTGAACAGTTATGAACAGTTATTAAGAGGCCGCGCATCAGATGGGATGGTATATGACTGTAATTCCAATACTTGGCAGCAGATACAGATTTTGTATATTCGAAGCAAATCTGGTCTACAAAGAGATTGTTTCCAAAGGAAAAAAATTAAAAGACAGCAAACCAGTTTTTATGGTATATGCTGGGTAGGGTTGGACTACATAACTAGCTGAAGGCCAGCCTGGGCAACCTAGCCATTTCCGTCTCAAATTTTAGAAAAGACGAAAAAGGGGGGACTGAGGATGTATGTCGGTGGTAGAGCTCCTGCCTAGCATGCTTGCTTCAGTTTCTAACAACCAAAAGGCAACTTGGAAAGGAAGACTCTTCTAGGAGGTGCGATGTAAAGTCAAGACTTGAAGAAATGAGGACCAGGTAGTCCTTGTAGCAGATGAAGCAGCATATGCAATGATCCTCACCAGGAAAACGTATAGAGCACTCAGGAAACTGAGAAAACCACCAGTGTAGTTGGGATGTAGTGGGCGAGGTGGAGAATGTGACTGCCATGGAGGGCGGGACCAGATTATGATCTTGTAAACTGAAGGAAGAGGTGACGTTGATTTAAAGTATAAAAGCAAGAGGGTTTTTGTCTTGTTGTGCTAGAGATCAGACTCACGGTGTTATAAGAGCTACACCCCAAACCAGGGAAGAATCTGAAAACTGAAATGGGGTGTGGTGGCCCACACCTGCACCAGCGGTGGAGGTTGAAGCCTGAGGATGGGCGTTTCAAGGTCTTCAGCTAAATGTCTGTGCTTCACAGCAAGTTCAGGCTCTGCCTGGGCTGCGTGAGATTGTGTGTCTGAGGAAAAGAAAAGCAGTGGAGTGAATTTTACAAGGACATTCTCAGGCTGGGGCTGGAGCTCAGTGTTAGACGTGTTTGACCCCCAGCACTAGGAGACTAAACCAAGTGTCATTATGTCTGCTATGTAGAGTTTAGACCTAAAAGTGATGGGAGTGGAAAGGGCTGTGTTAAGAGGCCAGGGGACATTTTTGTTCCGTTTTGTTTTTCCAGACAGGGTTTCTCTGTGTAGCCCCGGCTGTCCTGAAACTACTCTGTAGACCAGGCTGGCCTCAAACTCAGAGAGCTGCTTGCCTCTGCCTCCCCAGTGCTGGGTTAAAAGCCTGCACCACTACTGCCCGACTTTTTTTTTTTTTTGAGACAGGGTTTCTCTGTGGTTTTGGAGCATGTCCTGGAACTAGCTCTTGTAGACCAGGCTGGTTTCGAACTCACAGAGATCCGCCTGCCTCTGCCTCCCAAGTGCTGGGATTAAAGGCATGCGCCACCACCGTCCGGCTACTGCCCGACTTTTTAATCTAAATTATTTAGCTATTATTATTATTTTTTTGTCGGTGGGGGCATTTTTAAGTAAGAAATTACTGTCATCTCTAGAGGCAATTCAGTTATCAATAGTTCTGAAGGCAGAGTTCTTTCTACAGACCTCTACCCAGAAAACAGTTTCAGAACCTGGTATCTTAGGCCCTGACAGCAATGCAGGCCTTAATTCCAGCACTCGGAAGGCAGAGGAGGGCAGATCTCTGTGAGTTTGAGGTCAGTCTGGTCTATAGAGCAATAGCCAGGGCTACATAGAGAAACCCCTTGTCAAAAAAAAAAAAAAAAA